AAATATATTTTCTTCTATATAGGGAGTTTTTTCTCTACTCTCGTAGTTAGCAAGTTGTGTAGAATTGTCACTACATCCTCTACGGTTCGAATTGTTGCTTGGAGAACTATGATCGCAGGGACGCAGTGTGACGCATTGAATGTCTTCAGGCCAATTCCCCAATTCTTCATAATTTCTCACCGAAATTCAAAAGCTTTCTTTTCACCAGACGAAAGGATGTAAAAAATGGCACAACACACTTCTCTGTATCGGCAAAATTTCATTTTCTACAAGGAAAGGTTGCTGACTACTCGTCAGCGATGGAGAGGGCACAATGCGTGAGATAACTTCCCTACTATAGAGTTTTAGGCCATCTGCTTGTTACTAAGATAAAATTATCACTAAAGTCTCTTGGAACTAGGAACACTTTTTTGTACCTTCCGCTTTGTTGATTTGTCGATAAACGAACCAATGAAAAGACCTCGTAACATCCTGCCTTTTATTTCCAACAAACTGTTTAGCTGTTTATTATACAATTTTTATTCTTATTCTTGGCCTTAAATTTATCCCCTTTATACCCACAATGGTACACTTGTTCTTGCACTGACTGTGAGGCGGGTCAGAGAGTTGTTCTTCCAGAAGCTAGATTGTCATCTCGCCGGTGTTGGTGTGAAGCTGGCAAAGTATCCAAATGAACATTCTGACAATTATAGACCAGGTTCTGGACGGTTAGGTTCTATAAACACTAGTCAAGGTCGACGCAGCTGCAGACCGAAAGATGTCCACAACAGAGATCTAAGCAAATGTGACCTCATGATCTATAAAACGAACAGGTTGGAATCGCTTGCTTGTATCAGGATTTTTGCTAACCCACCCTTGTATTAAGTGTTGTGTCCTGTGTTGGTCAGCGATAATTCGGTAGATTGAGTCTCTGTCGTGTTCAGTGTTAAGTGCAAGTTCTGTATAGGAACAGGTAATATTTGTCTACATGGGAAGCGATAAGCTTAATCTGTGTTACATAATACAGTTCACACACTACGAAACAAGATATTGTAAATATTTCTAAAACATCAGCTAAAATTAAAATTGTATATGTATCTCTTTTGATCATGAGAACCATTTTTATCTTCCAACAGCATAACTGATGATAGCCTCCAGGTGAGTTAATAATTGCGCCTTCTTGCACTAATGTTTTCAGTTGACATGAAATGGAAAGAGTATATTAAATAAATGGCTAAGTCTGCATCTGAGAAAGCTGATTCATTATGTCGTGTTAGATAATTTTTCTCGCCAGAATCTGTGTTAAATATTTATAAGATTATCTGTTGCCCTTTGCTTTGAATATTGCTGTCACTTTAGGTATGTTTCTCCTGGTATATATTTAGAGATTCATGATAAACTCTAAAGAAGAATATGTATATGTTATTTGTAATGTAGTTTCCATGTACCTTGGCAATTTTTATATATCTAATAATGAAAATAATTCTAATGAATCATGTATTATAACCTAAAATCTCCGGGATATCTATCTATCTATCTATCTATCTATCTATCTATCTATCTATCTATCTAATATAATATAATATAATATAAAAGGTACAAACACTAATATTCCATGGTTATAATTTATTACATTGGAATCGTAATTATGATCCAAATCATCAGACCTACAAATTCAAAAAGAAATCGGAAAATATAACTCCGGGTACCAATTTCTTTTTGAATTTGTAGGTCTGATGAATTGGACCATAATTACGATTCCAATGTAATAAATTATAACCATGGAATATTAGTGTTTGAGCCTTTTATATTATATTCTTACTCTGTCCTGGACATTGAGTTCTACCTGGATTCTATCCTCTTGGGAATTTATATATATATATATATATATATATATATATATAAATTCGCCCCATGCAAGACAGTACTGGCATTAAGACACAATGTACTGCTGAGAGAATGAAAAGATTTTAGAAGGCACTATAGACCCGATTCTAAACAGAGTTCAGGGGATAAATCATATAATCCTGTTCAAAAGACCGGGGAGCTATTTAAACCGGACGTTAGGTAATCGTATCTACCCAAATTCCGGAAAAAATGAATAAAAACTCAGAGTTCACTCGGTGACGTTAGAAGTATACAGCTGAAGTAGACTTTAGAAGGAACCGGAAATCCAATCCTAAACAGGAAACAAAGGATAAACCTCTACTACTTTATTGCATCTTTAATACTAGTTTTATTATGAAAACTTTGAAATGTATAATAAAATCTTAACTGGCATAGAGTCGACTGAAAGATTCTGTTGGGTGACTATTCAAGTGACTAGATTGGTATTTCATCCATGGTTGATTCGATATTAGCAAATTGATCAAATGAGCGTTTCTTCAATTGCAGACCAGGTCCTGTACTCCTGTGTTACACAAACACTCGTCAGGACCGGGGCAGTGTTAGAGTGCACGGTATCCAGAGCATAGATCAGTTCAAATGTGCTCCAAGGAAAGTCAATACGGGTTGTTGGGAATTCTTTACTCTACACTTTAGTGACGACGTCGCAAGTGTGTCACCATTCGCGTGGTTCTGTAGTGTTCAGTGATGAGAATAGATCCTGTATTCTTGAAAATAATGGTCGTCTGCGTGTGTGCCGTAGACTCAGAGAGTGAGAATATATTTTCCTAACGTATAGAGTACTATGTAAGCCCCCAAATTAGTATATGGTGTGCTAGTCATTTAACTGCTTCTCCGTGTTTCTTTTTTTATAATCTATCTATCTATCTATCTATCTATCTATCTATCTATCTATCTATCTATCTATCTATCTTCTTATATATATATATATATATATATATATATATATATATATATATATATATATATATATTAATTACATAACAGTGAAATCCCAAATCACCTCTTGAGTATAGTCATTTCAACTAACGCCGAATGTCAGGCTTATTCAACTCAGATGGTGGACTCTCTCTCTCTCTTTATATATATATATATATATATATATATATATATATATGTTGCTATTATGCTAGCTGTCTCCCTTCATATCTATTTATCTATGCTGTGTAACTTCAGGACGTGGGCGATTGTCTCTCCACAATCTTCTCTCCCTTGTAGCTTTTAGTAAAGTTTGTCGTTTTACCAACCTACCCCAACTGACATGTGATTGCTTTCCAATGTCCATTTTCCATTTTTGTGCTTCTTTGCTCAACTAACAATGTAGTTATTATGAGAAAGTTCAAGTGAACATCACAAACCCACCTATAAATAAATAGGCTTACAAGTAATTGAAGGCCTATAAAATGACTACTATTATAAATTCCAACAGAACAACATGCTTGCATGTTAGAAAGTCAAGAATTTATACCAAGTAAAATGAAGAAATGGTAATTAGCTGGAAAAATGTCTGCACATTGCTAAAGTTCAGTTCAAAACAAATGCTCAAAATCATTGGCAAATATTTTGTATAGATATGGACAATCTTCGAAGAATCGGAACCCTACCCAGAATTACCATAATAAATTAATCTAGAATCCTTAGGATAGTATCATAGAATTAAAGAGACTTGCGGTTACTTCATCTCAAGCGAAAGACGCCAATTGCGACTAGTTTGGATATAAATTAGGTTGAGTTACTCGAACTACGAATCATAAGTGGCGGTTAGATATAAATTTGGCGTACACTAACTTCGTTTTTGAACGTCAGTTTCAGCGTATACAAAACATGAAATGAAAAATACTGTTCTCCTTCATAATACTGCAAGGCCGCATGCTTCAGGAATATCACAATTCACTTGGTCAGTTCGATCTCATACCCATATTCATCTGACCTTGCAGCAACCGTTTATTACCTTTTTGATTGCTGCAAAATGCGTATGATAACGACAGCTTCCTCTAATGACAACAGTATAGTTCATAGGGAATCTTTTGAAGAAATACTTGTGAAATTATACTCAGATATATGGAAGACCTGCCTGAAAAGGGTAAAAAAAGTCATTGAAATTAATGGTGAATATATAATTAAAAAAATGTAATTCGCTTTATTTTTTTGCAAAAGAAAATTGATAAAGAAAAAAGGTAATTATCTATCTTCTTTACATTTTTTACCTTTCCTAAACATCTTTCTGCCATTTATTTACTCAAGCACTCTACGTAGGTTATACGTTATTTCCCCCCCGTCCCTCTAGCTTTCAATCTTCCCTGTGAGTAACAAATTTTACAAACCCACTTTCTTCATTATTAACTGTCTTTTTCTGATATTAATGTGTCATTTTTGTTTCAATTTTCTTTAAAACTTCGGCGTTTCTGTTGCTTCAAGTTTCTTGTTCATCTATGAGAAGATTGTCCTGCATTCACAGCCATAAACGTGGGCTGATACAGCGTAACAGTTCCCCCGTATTCGATTTACTCCTAACGAAATTTTACTGTTTCTTAATACTTTGCTTAGCTTCTGAAAGTCATCTTTATCTATCCTAATGTGCCTTCAGATTGCAATGTCGCACTTTCCGTCCGCTGTTAAAACACTTGTCAGATATTTAAATTTTTCTACTTGTTTTGTTTTGATATATCTAGGATTTAAAATTTGCTGATAACCATGCATTCTGTCTTTCTTTCAATTGATTTTTATTTTTTCTTCTCGCCTTCCTTAATATAATAAATATAACACACACACACACACACACACACACACACACACACACACACACACACACACACATATATATATATATATATGTATATATATGAGTGTGTGTGTGTTACATTATGAATATTTCTACATATATATTGTATCGATTTTTTTTGTGATAGAGGGAGATATTTTTCTTGTATAAAACGCGTCCCAAAGCAGACAATTGTTCACTATCAGTGAATAACCCGCCATAATCATAAAGCCGTGAGAGAATTCCGAGAATCAAATGAACCATTTGAAACAAAAGAAGTAGGAAACCAACAAGAATGGCAGCTGCAGCAGCTGTAACTGAAGAAGAAGAAGAAGCATTACAAGAAGAAGAAGAATTAGAAGAAGAAGAAGAAGAAGAAGAAGAAGATGGAGAAGAAAAAGAAGAAAGAATAATAAGGAAGAAGAAAAAGAAATAGAATGAAGAGGGAGAAGAAGAAGAAAATGACCAATGTCATAAAATAAATAGAAGAAAAATAGTGAAAAACGACAACGTTATAAGAAACGTAAAGAACAGAAGCAAAAATAAAAGAAATAAAGAAATGCATCAGTTGAAAAAGAAACTGTTGAAGAATGAAGATAGTAAAAGGTAAGAAGTTTGAAATGCATAAGAAAAGGGAAAATGAAAATCAAGAAGAGAATAAATAAAATGTGTTTGGCAAAAAAAAAAAAAAAAGAGAGAAAAACAGAAAAAGAGAACAAAAGGTGAGCAAAGAAAGGAAGACTTAATATAAAAGAAAAAAAAAAGCTTTCACCGCTACAGCAAGATAAAGAAGGATCAGCAGTCAAAGAGGATAGCGACAAGAAAAAAATGCTAAAATCAAAATGGCGAAAGAAAAAAGCTAAAAAGGAATAGATGAAAAATTTAAGCCACTGCAGAAGAATAGAAAAAAAATGAAGAAAAAAGAAAACAAGCAGAAAAAGAAACCTCACAGTGTAGAGAGAAAAAAACAAAGTGATTCAATGAAGAAGATGTAAAAAGAAAATACACAGAATAAAAGTAAGAGTAGTTGCATTGAAATGGAATAATAAAATTCGCCTTTGAAATATTAGACTGAAATATGCTTTAAGTCTGATTCTAAAGAAGGAATAATGTGAGTCTATGAGAACTGCCACAGCGAAGCAGAAACAAAAGAACAGTAAATGAAAAAATAAGAAAGTTCTCTGAAGACGGAAAAATGAATAAAAATGGCGGGAAGCATTATTATTCAAAGACAGTCGTCTACGTTGACGTGAACGGATAAAAGGAAATGACAGACGTGAAAAGAATGTTTGAATGAAAGAATGTTTGAATGAAAGAATTTTTGAATGAAAGAATGGGTGAATGAAAGAATGAATGAAGGAATGGGTGAATGAAAGAAATGTCGAAGAATGCAGTAAGCGTAAAGATTGTTTAGAAAAGAAAAGGTATTTAAAAATGATAGATTAGCATAGAGAGTGAAGGAGAGAAAGAAATTATAGAAAGAAGAAAAAGGAAAGGGTAGAAAGTTAAAAAGAAACATGCATAAAAATGGAGATTTGAAAAACGAAATTATTACGTAACACACACACACACACACACACACACACACACACACACACACACACACACACACACACACACATATATATATATATCTATTATAAATTTACTGATAGGGTCCCATCGCTTAGTAGTTAGTAAATTATAATGTTTATGATGTGCTGAATGGCACTGGTTTTTAAAAATCGAAAATAATTATATATATATATATATATATATATATATATATATATATATATATATATATATATATATATTATTATTATTATTATTATTACAAGGACAATAAAAATTAGGTAAAGCTGAGAAAGAAAGATGGAAGAGAAAACAAGTAATAAAAAAGACTAATGATAGATAGGAGGAAAGAAATTATAAATTGAAAGAAGACATGAATGAAAAATTAATGAATCAAACTACAGAAAGAAAAAAATGAGGGCAAACGAAAAAAAAGGAAGGATAAAAAATAAAATAAATGGAAGAATGAAAGTAAAAAGAAAGAAAGAAAAAATAGAGAAAAATGGAAGGGAAATAGAGAGAAGAAGGAAAAGAATTGTTATATAAGAAAGAAAAGATGGTAGGAAAAGTAAGTAGAAAAAACAAAGAAAGAAATGTATAGGGAAGAAAGAAAGAAACAGATATAAAAGAAGGAAAGAAGATGATAACGAAGAAAGAAAATTATAGAGATTAAAGAAAGAAATAAAGAAATAAAGAAAGAAAGAAAGAAAGAAAAGGGTAGATAAGAAGGAAAGAAAAGAATAGGGATGAAGAGAAGCAAAGAATAGAGAAGAAAGAAAATGAAAGAGAAAGAAAGGATATAAACTAACTAAAGAAAATATTAAGAAGGGCGGTAGAAAATAATAAAAAAGAGGAAAAGAAAGGATAGAAACTAAAGAAGGAAAAGGATAAATGAGAAAGAAAATGGTAGCGAAGGAGGAAATAAAAGGATAGAGAAGAAAGAGAGAAAAGGATAGAAAATGAAAAACGAAAAAGGAATGAAAATGATAGAGAGGAAGGAAAGAAAAGGATAGAGAATAAACAATGAAAAGGATAGAAAAGAAGGAAATACAAGTAGATACAAGGTAAAGAAATGAATAGAGAAGAAAGAAAGAAAAATGATAGAGATGAAGGAGAGGAAAGACTATAGAAGAAGGAATGAAAAGGATCGATGTAAAGGAAAGAAAAGGATAGAGAATAAAGAAAGTAAAGGATAGAGAAGAAGAAAAGAAAAATATAGATGAAGGGAAGAAAAGGATCGAGAAGAAAGAAAGAAAGGGATAGAGAAGAAGGATAGACAAGAATAGGGATGAAGAGAAGAAAAAAATGAAGAAGAAAGAAAATAAAAGAGAAAAGGATATAAATTCACAAAAGAGAATATTGAGCGAGGCGGTAGAAAATAATAAAGAAGAAGAAAAGAAAAGGATAGAGAAGAAGAAAAAAGAATGAAGATGAAGGAAAGAGAAGAACAGAAAAGTAGGAAAGAAAAAGACAGAAAATATGGATAGAAAAAGGATTGAGAAGACAGAAAGAAAATGAATGAGAAGGAGGAAAGAAATGGATAGAAAAGAAGGAAAGAAATAGAAAGAGAAGAAGGGAAGAAAAAATAGAAATGAAATAAAAAAAAGGATAGCGAAGAATGTAAGAAAAGAATAGAGATTAAAGATAGAAAAGGATATAGAAGATAGAAAGAAAACGAATGAAAGAAAAGAATAGAGATGAAGGAAATAAAAGTACAGAGAAAAGTGAAAAAAAAGGAAAGAGAAGGACGAAAATAAGGATAGCGAAGAAGGAAGGCAAAGGATAAAGATGAGCCACAGAGAAGAATAGAGAAGCAAAAAAGGAAAGAGATGAAAGAAAAGTAAACAATAGAAAATAAAAAAAAACGAAAAGGATATAGAAAAAAGGAAAAAAAATGATAAAGAAGAAGGGAAGAGAAGGATATAAATAAACGAAAGAAAAAAAATTAGAAGAATGAGAGAAAATAATAGAAAAGAAAGAAAGAAAAGGATAGATATGATGGAAAAAATGAATAAAGAAGAAGCAAAGAAAAGGATAGGGATGAAAAAAATTTTAGATAAGTAAGAAAAGGATAGAGAATAAAAAAGAAAAGGATAGAGGAGAAAAAAGAAAAGGATAGAGTGGAAAAAACGAAGGATTATAGATGAGGGAAAGAAAAGGATAGGGAAGGTTAAGAAAGAAGGAATGAAAGAAAGAAGTAAAAGGGAAGGTTAAGTAAGAAAGAAGGAAAGAAAGAAAAGGATAGGGAAGGTTAAGTAAAAAAGAAAGAAAGAAAGAAAGAAAGAAAAGAATAGTGAAGATTAATTAAGAAAAAAAGAAATGGATAGCGAAGGTTAATTAAGAAAGAAAGAAAGAAAGAAAGAAAAGGATAGGGAAGGTTAAGTAAGAAAGAAAGAAAGAAAGAAAGAAAGAAAGAAAGAAAGAAAGAAAGAAAGAAAGAAAAGGATAGGGAAGGTTAAGTAAGAACGAAAGAAAGAAAGAAAAGGATAGGTAAGGTTAAATAAGAAAGAAAGAAAGAAAGAAAGAAAAAAAGGACAGGGAAGGTTAAATAAGAAAGAAAGAAAAGAATAAGGATGGTGAGGTAAGAAAGAAGGAAAACGATAAGGAAGGTTAAGAAAGAAAGAAAAAAAAGGAGAGGGAAAGTTAAGTAAGAAAGAAAGAAAGAAAGAAAAGGATACGGAAGGTTAAGTAGAAAAGAAAGAAAGAAAGAAAGAAAGAAAGAAAGAAAAGGATAGGGAAGTTTAAGTAAGAAAGAATGAAAAGGATAGGGAAGGTTAAGTAAGAAAGAAAGAAAGAAAGAAAGAAAGAAAGAAAGTAAGAAAAGGATAGGAAAGGTTAAGTAAGAAAGAAAGAAAGAAAGAAATAGGGAAGATTAAGTAAGAAAGAAAGAGAGAAAGAAAGAAGGAAAGAAAAGGATAGTGAAGTTTAATTAAGAAATAAAGAGAGAAAAGTATAGGGATGGTTAAGTAAGAAATGAAGAAAGAAAGAAAGAAAGAAAGTAAGAAAATGATAAGGAAGGTTAAGTAGGAAAGAATGAAAGAAAGAAAATGATAGGTAAGGTTAAGAAAGAAAGAAAGAAAGAAAGAAAGAAAAGGATAGGGAAGGTTAAGTAAGAAAGAAAGAAAGAAAAGAATAGTGAAGGTCAAGAAAGAAAGAAAGAAAAAACGAAAGAAAATGATAGTGAAGGTTAAGCAAGAAAGAAAGAAATAAAGGAAGAATGAAAATGATAGGGAAGTATGAGTAAAAAGAAAGAAAGAAAGAAAAGGGTAGGGAACGTTATGTAACAATGAAAGAAAGAAAGATAGAAAAGTATAGGTAAGGTTAAGTAAGAAAAAAAAAGAAAAGGATAGAGAAAGTTAAGTAAGTAAGAAAGAAATTAACAAAGAAAGAGAGTAGGGAAGGTTAAGTAAGAAATAAGGAAAGAAAATCATAGGAAGTTTAAGCACGAAAGAAAGAATGAAAGAAAGAAAGAAAATGATAGGGAAGTTTAAATAAGAAAAAATAAAGAAAAAAGAAAAGGATAGTGAAGGCTAAGTAAGAAAGAAAGAAAGAAAGATAATTATGGGGAAGGTTAAGTTTAGAATGAAAGAAAGAAAGAAAGAAAATTATAGGGAAGGTTATGTAAGAAAGAAAGAAGAAAGAAAAAAAAAAGAAAGAAAAGGATAAGGAAGTTCAAGTAAGGATAGGGAAACTTAAGTAAGAAAGAAAGAAAGAAAGAAAGAAAGAAAGAAAGAAAAGTATAGGGAAGTTCAAGTAAGAAAGAAATGAAGAAAGAAAGAAAGAAAGAAAAAGATAGGGAAGGTTAAGTAAGAAAGGAAGAAATAAAGAAATAAAGGGATGAGGAGGTTTAATTAAGAAAGAAAGAAAGAAATATAGGGAAGGTTAAGTAAGAAAGATAGAACGAAAGAAAAGGATCGGGAGGTTAAGCGAGAAAGAAAGAAAGAAAAGGATAGGGAAGATTAAGTAAGAAAGAAGGAAAGAAAGAAAGAAAAAAAGGATAGGGAAGGTCGAGTAAGAAATAAAGAAAAATGAAAGAAAATTATATGAATGTTAATTACGAAAGAAAGAAAGGAAAGTATAGGGAAGGTGAAGAAAGAAAGAAAGAAAGAGAGAAAGAAAGAAAGAAAAAAGAAAGAAAGAAAAGGATAGGCTAGGTTAATTAAGAATGAAAGAAAGAAAAAGATGTTAAGTAAGAAAGAAAGAAAGAAAGAAAAGTATAGGGAAGTTTTAGTAAAAAGAAAGACAGAAAAAAAGGATAGGGATGGTTAAGAAAGAAAGAAAGAAAGAAAGAAAAAAAGAAAGAAAGAAACGGATAGGGATGGTTAAGTAAGAAAGAAAGTAGAAAAAGAAAAGTATAGGGAATGTTAAGTAAGTAAGAAAGAAAGAAAGAAAAGTATAGGGAAGGCTAAGTAAGAAAGAAAGAAAAGGATAGGGAAGGTTAAGTTTAGAAAGAAAGAAAGAAAGAAAGAAAGAAAGAAAGAAAAAAGAAAGAAAACGATAGGGATGGTTATGTACGCAAGGAAATGTTAGATAAGCAAGAGGAAAGAAGAATGAAAAAAAGAATAGAAAAGAAGGAAATAAAGGAGTAGATACAAGATAAAGAAATCAATAGAGAAGAAAGAAAGAAAAATGATTGAGATGAAGGAGAGGAAAGACTATCGGAGAAGGAATGAAAAGGATCGATGTAGATGAAAGAAAAGGATAGAGAATAAAGAAAGTAAAGGATAGAGAAGACAAAAGAAAAAATATAGATCAAGGGAAGGAAAGGATAGTGAAGAAAGAAAGACAGAAAGAAAGAAAGGAAGGAAGAAAGAAAGGGATAGAGAAGAAGGAAAGAAAAGTATGGATGAAGGAAAGGAAAGAATAGAGAAGAAAGAAAAAAGAAGACTGAAGGAAATAAAAGAGCAGACACAAAGTAAAGGCACGAATAAAGAAAAAGAAAGAAAATGATGAAGCAGAGGAAAGACTATAGAAGAAAAAAACAAAAAGATGGGATTTGGATGAAAGAAAGACAAAGAGAAAAGAAGGAGGGAAATATCGAAAATAAGAAAATATATGAAAATAAAAGGAATATAGAGAAATGTGAATCAAGGAATGACGATAAATAATTTCAGAAAGAATGTCCAAAACAAAGTAGACATCTAGAAATGAAAGCAAACAATAAAAGTGAAATAGGTATGAACTAAAATTTATAAGATTATTTAACATGGCCAAATAAACGTAATATTTATAACGTCATTTACAGCAGCATACATCGTATTATCGACAGTAGTAATGACAGTCTGAGCAGAAGAGCAAAAAACGATGTAGGTGTACAATATGGCTTCAGTCAGTTTATATCGAAAATACCTTAGACAGAAGGTCGCTCTTTATACTTCATTTGCATAACCGGTATACATAAAGGTAAACGTCACCGGAAATGAACGGTCACACACAGATGTGTATACTGACAGAACAGAAAGAGAAAATAAATAAAAATTGTGATATGTCATGGCACAACCAAGAATGTAATCAAAAGTTCATCAAGTTTAGGTTTCTATGTTTATTTGATAGTCATAATACTTTCTAGAATATTTTTGGTATTTCAGGATCTCACACATTATTGATACTATCTCACAAGTGATTGCATCAAAGTGCACTGTCTTTGGGAGAACGTTAGACGTTGACACAAAGTGCGACTCGGTACAGTGTGATGAAACAGTCTAGAGCAAATATCCCTTATACTGGAGGGACGTACATTGTTTCCTTTTTTTAGTTACTCAGTATCCAAATTTATTATTCAAGGTCATGTTTTCGCTATTTTATTTTATATGTCGTGTACCTTCAATATATAAACGATCATGGCTCTCCACTTCTCCTTATCACTTGTAGCTCTAAAAAACTTTCGTCTCTATGCCAGACTACGTTCCGTCAGCCACCAGTTCAAGCCCACCAGGTATGTCATTTGTTGCTTTCCCTTGTCTCTTTTGTCCCTCTTTTCGACCTGTGAGTATCAGATTCTCCAGGCCCTCCTTTCTCATTATGTGTCCCAGAAATTTCAGCTGCTTCTTCTTTATGTTAAGTATAATCTTTCTCCTTGTTTACATCCTCTCCAAAACATTTCGTTTCTCACATGCTCCGTCCACGGTGTCCATGGTTTTCGCAATTTTATTTCATGTGTCCTGTCACTTCAGGACGTACCTGATCATGGCTGTCCACTTCGTCCTATCCTTTGGAGCTCTAAATAAGTTTCGTCACTCTGCCACCTCCCCAGGACACGTTCTGTCATCCACTTGCTTAAGCTCGCCAGGTTTGTCATACGCGGATTTCCCTTGTCTCCTTTTCCCTCTATCCACCCTGTGAGTATCAGATTCTCGCAACTTTCCTTTTTCATTAACTGTCTCAGAAATTTCAGCTGCCTGTTCCTGGTGTTAAGTATAAGCTTCCTCCTTGTTTGCATTCTCTCCAAAACCTCATCGTTGCTCACACGATCGGTCCACGGTATTCACGGTTTTTGAAATACAATTTGTATTAACCAGTGATCTGAGAAATATATACAGGGAATGCCATTAGATGCCTGTCATTCGTAAGAATTAGCAAAAAGGATGATCAAGTGTAGACTCTCCTTGAAACAGTCAAAGAGTTTATTGAGGGTATCATAATAGAATTTGCTTAAAGTATGTGCCAAGGCTATATTTCGTAAAGGAAAACTATTCAGCACACACTGCCATCCTAGAAACAAAATAGTTACAATTTGAGGGAGTTATATGTATTTAACTGATTAATGAGAATAAATGCTACAAAGAATGATATCATTGAGCAAGAGTGATACTGAAAACAGGGTTAAACAACAGAAACAAAATTCAAGCTATAAACACCCGAGCCATGTCTGTAATCACATAGAACTTTAACATTATTAATTGTTCCTTCACCGAGATAAACAGAAATAGATAGCAAAAAGAGAAAGTTTTACACAATGCATATTACGTACTCACTCAATATAAGACACTGATTGTTGCGTCCATGAACAGGTGATCTGATATTAACTCAACTATAAGTATCAATGAAGACTGTAGCCGTGAGATTTACAGCAATATCACGTTGAAACACCGGTCCTCGCACGAAGTTAAGCGACGTCTAGCGGTCTGTGAATAGATGGGTGACCGCTAGAGAATACCAGATGCTTTAAGCTTGGATCTGTGGCTTGCAATTGGAAGTCTGAGAGCAGAGTTCCAATTCCAGTTTAAGACGTTATATTTATTTACACACCATTAACTTTACTCTACTTTCTTCAAGATATCGGTTTATGGGTAGGAATTGTATCAGTAAATCTTTATTATCTTCAAAAAGTCTTAAAATTTAAAACTATGTTCTGGATTTAAATAACCTGAAATAGCTTGCTGAGCACTATTTTTGCTTAGTTGCAGGGAAAAAAATCTGATTCTGAAAAAAGGGGAAACCAGAAAATTCTGTGATCAAAGACTTCATTATGCTTATGCAGAAAGTGGAAGAGATACAGCCCTAACCGGAAAAAGTAAAATAAATAAAATATGCCGCAAAATAAAACGGCCTTAAAACAAGTATAGAGAAATGGGATAAAAATATGTTCTTGATATGCAATCTATCAGAACCAGCGATCCTGATGTAATTCTTGACCATCGATAACTGGCAGACACTTGTCTCAAACCAGAAATTGTAGGATTCTTAGTTGCAAATCAGAAACAGTGTCTACCAGCCAGGAACTACCAAAATAATGTCCTGATCCTGAATAGAAGCTCATCCTCTCACATAACTAGAGGACATCTGTAAAAGACTTTACCACATCCTGTTTTTCTTTTACCCATTTTCACATGGTAGTTATGACCGTCAACTTGCCCCGTCAAATATATCGTATATAAGAAATATTTCCAAAAGCCGTGTAGTTGTTTATTAGATGCAATATTTTATTTTATTCTTAACCCTTAACCTTAACTTACTCTCCTTTATTCGACACCTACACTGTTACATCAACCTGATGCCCGTGTCTGCCTATAAAACTCGCTGCAAGGAAAGACTCAAAATACGCTATTACTTTACAAAAGAAACAATCCACATGGAAATATTTTCCTTTAATTGGGCCGATATTCTAATGTATGTATAAGATATTATTATGCGTAAACAATAATCATAATGCGTATATTTGATACATGCATTTCTGGTACCGTTTATCACCGTGTAAACATGTTACACGTGATGTGATATATGATCCACACATATTTGCATTAATTTGAATTCTAGCGTTAAAAATATGAAAATGTAGACAACATTCTTTAAGGCATAATGACAACATCCACTTCTATGTAATGATTGAAACTGTGAAAAATACATGAAAAAACCTAAAAACAAAAAAAAAAAAAAAAAAGAAAAACAAAACAAAAACAAAACAAATAGACAAACACACACACACAAGTATGTATTACGGACAGCTTTTCAACAATCTTGATTTGGATGTATAACATACGAGAATTTAGAAAGTAAATTAGAAAAATTAGAAATTTTTGAGAACTGTTTACATACATGGTGATTGCAACATCTTACCCTCACCATTTGCATAATTTGTGATAGCTTCCGTCTCCTTTCGGCACCTGTGGCCCCTGAGATGATTGTTCAGACCGACATTTGAATTCATAGATATCGGGCTTATATGACAAATAAACTCTGTTTCCTTTATTGATCTGCAAATTTTGTGTCATATATATATATATATATATATATATATATATATATATATATATATATATATATATGATTAAATAAATTACATACATTATGTTTGCTTATTTTTAGCATAATCCGTTCTTATTCACGAATATTTTTCCGTGCAATCAAATGAGGCAATTATGTACCGCAACAGTGAAAATCACATTTATTTTCCAAGCACTTTCCAGATGTTTACTTGGGTGAATTTCCAAATAAATACACAAACAAACGAATATATATATATATATATATATATATATATATATATATATATATGACACTAAGGTCATTAACAAGCAGCAGATATATTTCTATGCGCTTTATCTCTGATAATCAGCCCTTTTTCTCATAGATATGGCATACATTAAAACAATATTTTTATTACATAAATTCATAAATACATACGCGCGCGCAAACACACGTTAGAAAAGGGCTATTCCAAAACCTCCAAAAACAATTTATTGCATAACATAACGATGAAATTCTCTTCATAAAAACTGTTTCTCTTTTAGACATATACACGCTTTAAGTTAAAAATAAGTATGCTTTACTTATCAAAATGGATAAGTTAAGCTACTGGTGCCTTGGTTCGTGTCCAAATTCAAAATCAATGTTTCCGCTGCAAATTTACTATACATACCTTCCATCTTTATTTGGAATATTGGCGAAAGCTAATCTCCCTGTTTCTTATTTTATAAGGGTCACTAACGAAAGAAGTACTAACCTTAACAAAGAAAATAAGAAAAAATAAAACTTACCGTTAATATCCATTGCATCATATGTTTGTGAATTTCATTTATTCGGCTGATAAATCATTAGGCTGATAAATCATAGCTTGGAACTGTAGGTGCTGAACAAATGTGTCCAAGCAGTTAACTGAAGTATGCATTGGCTAACCATTCTAACATACAGTCGTAATCGGAATACGTAGAGTCGTCCAACTGCTGAAACCCCTTGACGAGTGGACTGGACAATTACAAAAAAATTCGTCTACGAAACAGTGGAGTTCAGGTGTTGAATATAACACACACTCACACACACACATAGAAGTTTAAAAACAGTAATTTGACTTTGTTAATAGGATTCTTCCGTGTAGGATACAGGTTCGATTCTCGTCAGAGGACATATTTTCTGTGAAATTACTTTGATATTCAAATTTTGAATTTGTAGGTCTGATGAATTGGATCGTGATTACGATTCCACTGTAATAAATTATAACCATGGAATATTAGTGTTTGAGCCTTTTATATTATATTCTTACTCTGTCCTGGACATCTACCTAGATTCTATCCTATTGGGAATTTATATATATATATATATATATATATATATATATATATATATATAGCAGCATGGCCCGGCGTTGTCCGTGCTTGATTAAAAAAATCGTACGACTCATACAGCAATCGCTACCAATTGACTTAAAATATTTTTGCCCTTCTTGCCTTTTTTAAAGGAGTGCCGTTTGCCGTGCTGATGTTGCTACATGCCTTCTTACCTATCTCACACTGCGAATTTTTTCTAAGCTCTATACTAAACATTAAATCTGTTACTAAAAAAAAAAACTAAACAAAATGAACACAAAACTGTCATCTTAAAAAAAGGACTCGTAACTGGAAAAACCGAATGAAAAAAGAATGTTAACAATAAATACTTTTTCACACCCCCTGACGTCTTAGTGGATTTATCGCCTTGCTTGGAGTGAAATGATTAAAACATTGGATAGCGGTTCGGAATCAGAAATCTGGAAGTCGAGTTTCAATTCCAGTTGAGTTCGTAACATTGACTTTTTGCACAAAGTCCTTTGCGAAATACATAAATCTAACTCTTCCCCCATCAGCTATGGGTTAAATATTAAGGCACACTGAGAGTTTGGTATTGGTAAGACAAACTCTAAAGTCCTAAACCCGGGTAGACGGAACTCATTAGTGTTAAAACAGGTGTTCGTCTAAAGGAAGGAAAATCCAACCATTCCTTAAAATACCTCCAGCACGATTTCAGAAACCTCATCAAGCGACATTATGTGCAACGAAGCAAATATAGAATTCTTTGGAGTAGAGGTTTTCAGAAATGTATGTTTTTTTTTTTGTTTTGCGTCAAGCTTAACTATAAAACAGTCTAGAATGAAATGTGGACGATGCAAAAGTTTCAATAGAAAGTTAGGTGATCTTTTACTTCTGTTGTTAACAGACGTGTCTGCAATATTTCTATTTGGGTACGGCCCACATCTTTTGCGCGATGGATATAGAACGAGAACACACGCACATACATACACACATACCTAATATCAAGAAAGTGGTATACGTCCATACCTCCGTGGTATTAAAAAGATAAATAACGATCATACTTATTAGTAGAAATGATTGTTAGAGACGTGAAAATGCAATGGCTTGTGGATCGTGTCTTGACAAGACTATATCACAAAGGTACAACTACGAAAAGACCTCAAAATGAAATAAAACTATTAGGTTGTGTCATAAATAATTCCTGGTTTTGTCGGTAAAGATTATTCTTAAAACAATAAGGTAAAATTACATTTTACTGAATAATACATTTAATATTATTTGCAATTTCTTTTGAGTAAAATTCTTCTAGTTGTCATTTGAAAGTTTTCAATAAATTCGTGAATTTGGTTTTCCGTAAGGATAGTTTTTGTCATTGGTGTATTTTGTAGCAATCGAAACAAAAAGGTAATACTCTTTTTGGTGCAAGGTCAGATGAAAAATTGCGGATAGGTAAAAGCAGACTAAGTGAGTTCCAACATTTTTCCCGCGTTTTCTTGCGTTGTCATGCAGAAGAACAAGCTTCATGGGCGTTTCGACCAAACTTTTCCGGGGGCTTTGTGGGTAAACATATTAACATGCATTTAGTATGCTAAATATCAAAAGGAACAATACCTAGACGAACCCACCACACTCACAAGATAGATTGTTTTCCATTGAACTTAAATTTTGGGGTCGGATGTGAAGATTCGTAACCACGTGTTATGACATATTAGTAGAGCGGTTAGTTCGCTTGTTACGTAGGTCATTAGAATTGATTCCAGAAAACGGTAATTACTTATGACTCAGCCTAATATATTTTCGTGCTTAACTCTGTATAAACATTATTCTTTGTAACGTATAGGTTTTTATTCAATCGTTCTGGTTTTATCATCGATATTTCGTATATAAATAACACAGAACATGTGTTGCCTTTATCTCCTCACTGTCCCTTTGAATTCCTCGCTTTGTCCAAGTATGAAAGCAGCGACATCAAGAGAAAAAATAATTTTTGTTATTGGGTTTGAAAATTAGCATTTTATTCAGCCTGTTGGTCCGACAAAGAATGGCAAACAGGATTCTGTATTATGTTTTCTTATGTGAAGCCATCTAACCACAGAACTTAAAAGAAAATATCTTCTTTGACTCGTGATGACGAAGTCAGTTATTTAGTGGGTTTATATTCATTTTATATATTGTTAACGCAATATAATTTCGATGTACACTCAAAATAACGTCTCTAGATTACGTGCTTTGCTTTCATTCGACCACGCATGATTGATATGTATGTAGAAATTATCTAAGAGTGATTTATGTTATGCTATCTCTAAGAGCATTTACAAATGTCAAAGGCTGAAAAATAAATTGTCAAGAAAAGAATTTTTCTGTGCTTATTCAAAGCTTAATTTTGCTTATCTATTACTTTTGACAAAATTATTTCGTGAGATTTTAACAAACTCAGAGGACAAAGAGACTTATCGACGGCATGGACAAAAGTGATGTATACCTGAGTGTAATTTGGCATCATAAAACATGAGTCTGTTATGTCAGAGAAAGTCGAACTCGGGACACTGGGTCCGCATGGTAACATTACTTTAGGTCTGTACTAGGCGTTCAAGTATAGAAAATATATAAGAAATAAAAAAAGTCGAGAACTGGATTACACGCATGTATACATACATATATAGCTATACATATGAGCGGACACACACACACACACACACACACATATATATATATACGTTATTTATTCATAGACATCATTGAATTGTTTGATTTTACGTTCAACAAATAGTGACTAAACAGAACTGGTCGACCGTCTATTCTGCTTGCCATTAACGGCTTAGTAAGACTAAAATTCAAAGGCTAAGTCTTTTTTCGTTGAGTTGAATCGATTTTCCGTTGCCTATATGAAAAAAAAAGAAACAATAAAATAAAGCAACTGAAAAAGGACAATAAACGACGCCAATAACATAAGTAAAAATCTACTCCGAAAGAATTTATACACCGAATATTCTCTTGTATAAATTGTCCTGAACACTAAGTCTACCTTTTAGGATTTGCTTTGACCTCAACTTTGACTTCAAAGATTCAAACATTTAAAAATAAAGATCTTCTCATAGGTCAAGTTCTTGAATTAACTTTTGAGGATTTTTTTTATTTTTATTCTACGAGTCATTTTCCCTTAGGACGTTGGCGACCATGATTATCCGTAACATTCTACAATTTTGCACAAAATGTCAAAATTTTTTTTTAGATTGTAAGAATTATGAAGACTCATACCTTCCCCATTAGGTGTTTGCGCGTATATGAATATAATGAACCCAACTGGAATTGGAACTTAGATCACCAAGTTGAAGATATTAATCAACTCAGAAAATTATTCTATAGCCTAAATTACCTGTTATAAAGTTGGCGTTTGTGTAACTGACCTCTGTCAAGTCAACTTGTTAACCAGTACAACAGTGCGGTACTAAGAGAACTAGAAATCCTACTAAGATATATTATTGGTAGGCACAGTCCTAAAAGTATAAGATATGCATATGTTACCATGTTGATGGAAGACTCAGATCGGAAACTGCTGGAACGCCTAGAAAAGGTAGTAAAGGAAAAGACTGTCAATTGTAAGAAGTCAAAAAGTATGAATGCAAATCGAACAGCCCATGATGTGAGCTTAGATGATATGTCAAAATCAAGGAAGTATAAAAATAACGGGGAATTGTTTTAAGAAGGGACAGAAAATGTGACACCGTAATCTTCACAGTATTTAGTATTGTTGAAGTTATCGCTAAAATGTTTTGTCGCGATTTTCAAATTATTCAATTTCAATTTCGCAAACCAATCGATGAAATTTGAATAAGCTGATTGGTTTCGAAAAATATTTTGACAAAACACCTACTTCGCGGTTTAATATTTTATTTAGATTTTAGGACTTTATGGTAAACAATATTTTTTAAGAAAATGTTTTTTTTCATTTTTAACATCGAATAATAAATTCTTAGGATTTCTTACTCTCGAGCATGCAACATACAACTAATCATGCGTAAATATTTATTTCTGGAGCCAAATTCCAACTTTTTGAAGCGTTTGGCCTTGTGATTTGTTCATGCTTTTCGCACACTGATGTAACCTATAAAAGTTTACTGAATGAGAAATAACCAAAACGGAGGTTGGAAATGAAGCGATAATCTTTATAACATTAACAAAATACAATACTCGCCAGCGGCGTGAAGTAGGTAGACCACTGCTAATAGTGGACTACTTAGGCATCATATTACGATACTTATCAACCTCCCTATGAAGTAGGATGCGGTACAAGTCCAAATTTAATGTTGGGGAATCCGAGTCCATGGGTTCGGGCAAAAATTGTCCGTAGACCTCGCATATGCGGGATCGGGTATCTGTTTACCTCCCCGGACGAGACTCTGCCTATTGGCATAAAGTCCTTCGGGTTCCTCTCTGCCCAAAGAGAGTTCGATACGGCAAGAGCTTCCCACGCTGATAGCTCACGCTGATAGCTTAGGTAGCATAGTACCCCCTCGTGCAATAGTGATCAACGTATTTATAAGGACTGGGACATACCCATTAGTGTTCATAGGTACGGTATATAACACAAATGAAGGTCGAACTTGAAACTGGATTTTTGTATATATACAAACTTAAAGAAAATATAAGTAAAATATAATTTTGCTTTTTATTAAATAAGTATTTGCTATAGAAATCATTAAATTGTTTTTAAAATGTTGGGAGTATTTTGTATTTTAAATAATAAAACATAATTTTTTCAAAAAAATGAAAGAAAATGAATAGTAAAACTAAATGTATTTTGTAGCAATTTTAACTGTTTGCTCTGCCCAAAATTTGGCTACGATCGGCCAATGTATGGCTATTTTAGAGAGTATTAAGGACGAACTAACGGAAGTCAAGGAATTTTAGATATAGATTATAAAGATTTGGTGGTGGAAAAAAGGTACGCTTTTCGTTAACAAAAGAGTAAGCTTTCGAACGTTTACATAAGACGACCTAACCAACTGGAATATTACGCTTACTGTTAGGATTGTGACCCTACACATAAGTAAAAAAGAAGGATGGTTTTTCTATTTAGAAAGCACAAATTTATAAAATTACCAATCAGCTCCAGCTACTATCCCTTTACAGGCGACCTCACAATTATCACGGCCTAAACTCAATAAAATAGTAATATTATTAACAATAATTTATAAACATATATAAGCGCTATGTTATATAACACCGAGTGAAATTCTACATATAACCACGGACATTTATATTTGTTAAATGAAATCCTGAAAAGAGTTACACTAATAATATTTCAAAATTGGAATCTGTGTCATTTTATTAACCAAAAACAATAATTGAAAAATAACTTTGTAAATCATATAAAACCGCTTAATATAGCATTATTATCATTTAACATTCTGTATAAGTAATTACTCTACTTATATCTGAAAAGTTAAAACATTTTTAATTCAGCATGGCAAAACATTTCCGCTGGTAATAAATATATGAAACTCTGAATTCTTCATCTGTCAATAACAATAATTTTATAATCTAGAAATATGAACCTAGAATTAAGAAACTTCCCGGAATATATACAGGGATTCCATAAAGTTCGTGTGCACTTTAAAAAAAATTATAACTTTATTTGTATTTGCAATAGAAATAATCTGTAAAAAATGTTATAAAGTTTAATGTACCTAGTTTTAAGTATAGCGAAAATAACTAATGTGATTTCAGGCATTACTGTAAATCAGTTGGCAAATATTTTCCGTGAACTGTAAAATCGTATTACCCTTTGTATTGCTAATGTTGGAGGACATGTGGAAACTTAAATAAAATTTCAATAAAACCTTAAATAATATAGATTTACTTTTTTCTAATACTTTTTACAAATTATTTCTATCGCATATAAAAATAAAGTTAGAAATTTTTTAAAGTGCACACAAACTTTATGGACACCCTGTATTTTCAGCGGGAAAAGACGCAAGAGTTCAGTCTGAAAAAAAAAGAAAAGAAAAATCATTCCACAAAATCAACATATTAGTGTGTGCAGCATTTATCTGTTAATAGCAATAACAATAAAAAAAAGGATTGAAAAAGAAGGACGGTTTTTCTATTTAGAAAGCACAGATTTATAAAATCACCAATCAGCTCCAGCTACTATCGCTTCGGCGTATACCCTTTACAGGCGACCTCACAAAAATATGCGTCCTGTGTAAGAAGATAAACTACATCCAACAGCAAGGCCTCTGATCGGGAGGTTTTGAGGAGCATGGAACCACCTCTTAATTGCTGGTGTTCCTAGGTCCACCAACACCTGGGGTGGTAGCACCTATTAGGGTCCCAGCTATGGGCAAATAGCTAACCCCCAAACTGAGGCCAAAACACTATGAAAGCATAAAAATAGATATTCATCGTAAAAATTACCAGCAATACATTTTGGAAAAAATATTAAAAGAAATAAACAATTAAACCACTTTCGACTAAAACCCTCTTAACAAAAATAAGTCAATGAAACCTAATCTACGAACTCTTTATGAAGAATACATATTCTATTCATACGAACCTATCCTAAAACCAATCATGTCGACATTAAATAACCCATTGAGTTTGATATGCCGTAAAACAAAATAAACCAAACCCAGCCTAAAATATATACATTTACTACAGTATAATTTATAGCAAGAAAGATTGTAATATATCTGAAAAAAAGATTTTCACTGCTAATTCTATATTTGGGACTGACATTTTTTATCTGCCAATAAAAATGCAATTATAAATACTATAGTAATCTGAATCTTTCTTTTTTATACGGAATGTCCTTTGAGGATATAGGAATCTTCGACTTCCCTAGAATCTTATTCTATGTAGCTCTTACCAGTGTTAGTCTTCTTACTACCCCTCTCACTACTCTGTTCTGTTATTCATTTAGAGAAGCACCTTGGGTAGAATATCCAATACTTCCATTTACCTTTCCTGTTTTCAATATATTTCCTGTGAAATCTAAATTATTCTTTTCTTTCTCTGTGCCGATTATGGCTATCCACAATTTTCTATTATTTGTATATATTAGCAATGTTTGTGTTATTCTTTCTATTTTCTATTCTGCTATCAAATTACACGTGCTTATTGGGTTATTCGCAGTTGCCGTCTGTTCAATATTCTCCGTCAGTGTTAAATTTTCAAAGCTTTTTTCCTCATTATGTATTCAAGACATTTCAAAACCTTGTCTCTTTCTGATTCTAAGTATAAGTGTCTTTTGGGTTTGAATTTTTCCTAAAAACTTCCTCATTTTTCATCTGTTCCAACCATGTTATTTTCGGCATTCATCTGCAACGCCATATCAATGTTGCCTCAAGTGTTCTCTTCATATGTGAGACAACTGTCCACAGTTCACTGACACATAAAAGGATTGATATTTCAAAGAAGTTAAACGCTCTTTTCTAACGAAGTTTTCCCATTTATAACTACTTTGTTTAGGGAATTGTTTTAACAGGGAATGAGAATTGTGACACCGAAATTCGAAGATGCATTAGAAAAGCAAAAATACCATCCAAAAGTTAAATAAAATTTTAAGAAAAATGAAAATGAAAACCTCCTTAAAAACAAACTAAAAAAAACCTATGTAACGTTTAAACTTCATTAAACTACAGGCATATATTTATTTATGGAACTAACTATACTGTTTACATTATTTGAACTATTGTCCTCATCTTTGTCGCCATATTTATTACAACGTTTCGGCCGTTGTACGCTCCGGCCTTCTTCAGGTGGTTGGAATGTCGAACTTAACCCTTTATTTCGCTCACTGGGGTAGACTGTTCTAGTTCCATGTTTAATGGATGTCAGTTATCAGTTATGTTCTGTTAATTCTCCAAGTTCTTCACTGCCTTAACCAGGTATTGAACTCACACTCTTTGGGTCATGTCACTGAATCTAACTAACGCCTTTATCCACTGTGTCATGTATCCTTGAGGACATCTGTGTATGAATGTCTGGGTATTATAAACCTAATGAAGGGTTCAGAAGATATTTAGGCGTTTCAATTTTAATATATATTACTATATAAAATATATTCTGGAACAGGTATATTGACCTTGACTTGTATAAAAATACGTATGTTTTTGGCAAACTGAATGATTTCAAAACCCTAAGTCAGAACATAGTTAGCCCGACTCCTGGTTTGCATTACTGATGAAAATCCTACATGTGCAACTGTGATTTTCATACCTGTTAATACACAAAAAAGAAATGAATAATTTAAACTGAAATCCAATTCAAATGGTTCTATGATTTACAGCCACATCGCGTTGAAACACAGGTTCTCGTATGATCACCGAAGTTAAGAAACGTCACACTTGGTCAGGTACTTATTTCGGTGACCTCTTGGAAATACCAGATGCTGTAAGATGAGTGGTGTAATGGATAATGGCTAGGAATTTTTAATCGAAAAGCCGAGTTCCAATTCCCGTTTACGCGGAAAATACTCAGGTATGAGTTAATTAGGAAAACTTGTGTCACTAATGCACTACCGTCTCAAAAAATAAAAAAAAATCTAAAAAAAAAATAGGTTCTGCCTTTAAATAACCAATTGGTTAGTAAACCACAGAAAAAGAATCAATCAATCAAAAAACTGATTCTATATCTAAATTAGAGTTGGAATTATATCCTCAATAATAATAATAATGAGACTACTACTACTACTACTACTACTACTACTACTACTAATAATAATAATAATAATAATAATAATAAACCTTTTAAATCATCATTAAAACAGATATATGCTACATAATTGATTAAAATTCTAGAAGTGGAATATTGGTTAAAAACGAACAAAGAAAGAAATATTATCAGCTGCAACGAATACCAATGGCGCCCTTCCTACATTAGAATCTGTGACATTTTTATCTGTCAATTTGAATAAAGTAAAGAAGAACTTTACAATTACCCATAAGAGATATATGTTATAGGTTGACGATTAAAATTCTATTGTAGAAAGCGTAAAATTTATATCAATTCAAAAAAAAAAGAAGATTATAATTGATTCTGAAGAACACTTCTACAGGAACTACTTCAGCATTGCAGTCTGAGATTTCTTATCTGTCAGTAAAAGTGAATTTAAAAAAAAATAACATCCATAAAACGCATACAAAAGTTGAAGTTCCACGACCGACTGAATTTCTACATGCGAAATTTTATCATTTACGTCAGTTAATTTTTTTTTTTTTTTAAGCGGTTCACTCCAAGCAAGACAGGAAGCCACTCGCACGCAAGGGGTTACAGAAAGTTGGAGTGAGAGCAAAGAGGAGTGATAGAGGAAAGGATGAAAAGAAGGATAGGGGATAGATCAAGGCATCTGGAGATGTCGATTGACATTGCATTTGAATAGTTGGAGATTATAGTTCAAAAAACTTAGTCGGAATACTTGCTGCTTAAATATTCATGTATATTTTCATCCACAGACAGATTGTTTCGCAACTGGTCAGTGTGGCTAGATGTTCGATTGCATCAAGACTGGAAGCCACTAGTACGCAAGGGGTTACAGAGAGGTGGAGCTAGAGCAAATAGGAGTGACAGAGGAAAGGATGAAGAGAAAGATAGGGGATAGATCAGGGCATCTGGAGACGTTGATTGACGTTACATTTGAATGGTTGGAGATTATAGCTATCAGCGAAACAGGAAGAGGTTCCACAGGCGAGAGGTGCAAGACATGAAGCTATTAGAGTAGAAGAGAAGGCTCCATTTAACAGTTTCGACAGTGAAAGGGCGTGAGCGAGATGCCAGCCTAGTAGAACGCTTAAATTCATGAAGTTTGGGAACCAGCGAAAGCAGCTCCCTCGGAGCAGTTACCATAAAAATTTTTTTTAAAATGACAGAAAGAGAGAGCGACTGCAGACGAGATGCCGGATCTGTTAAGAAAGGAACTTCATTTTGATTTACAGAGAAAAGCATTTGCACTGGTCATACTTCTATATTAGTGTCTGCCATTTTTTTTTAACAACAATTGGAATATGAAGAATAATAAATTTATTCTATCATATATTCACCATTCACCGTTTCGGAGACGATATTGGCTTTATGGCGGGCAGTAACATTGAGATGGACGACCTGATCAACAAATTCTTTAAAAGAGACTGGAACTCAACACAGAGAAATTCAAAGTAATGGTAAATAGCACAAGCAACGCCAACGCCCGTGTCAACATAGACGGCGATCCTTGGGAGGAAATGTCAGAAGATGTCACCTACAATGGAGAAATCTGCACATGTATCGTCGCATCCATAGTAGCGATGGCCAGACTGGAGAGAACATTGAAGAGCAGCATCAGACCAAATTCCAGTTCTACAAATCCGAGAGTGAGACAGGAAAAAGTATTCAGGCGTTCGAGAAAAAATGCTTGAGAAATCTCTGCACCTACTTCTGGGATCACAAATTCAATGACAATGTAAAGAGCAAGGTCAAAAATGCCGTGGGACCAAAATCTCTCCTCGCTACTATTAAGCCTCGCAGGATGGCAGGGTTTGGGCACGGTATGACAGCCTCTGCAAGAGCACCGTGCAAGATAATGTTGAAGGTGGACGCAAGTGAGGACGGCAACGCAAGAGCTGGTCAGATAACATCAAAGAGTGGACGGACATGACAATGTCGGAGCTCTTGAGAGTCATCGCCAAAAGGGATAGGTTGTTTGTTTCTTCTGACTTTAGGTCCCCACCCCAACGATTCACCATATTCTGCAATGATTGTTACCACTTACTGGACAGCTTTCCGATACCTTTTCCTGAAAATTCCTCAAAGTTTGATATAAAAACTACTCGAGGGGCTCTTGTATCTGGTTTTCATTAGAGAAAACTTTCCTCATCAAAGCAATTGATACCGATAAAACAAAACAAAACAAACTAATAATCAGTTGGTGCCTGTTCAAGTGTATATGGCGGTTGGGGCAGAACAGACCAACCGCGTTCCAAACTTTATCCTGTATTATTCTTAATGTAGGTAGACTTGTGTTGCCACGAATGAGAATATAACATTTCCTATTAAAGAGCGATGGATTATTTTCGACTAAATATTTACGAACATATTGCAGTTGCTTTACTCATAAATGTACATTTAGTGTTTCATTGCATTTAAAAAAAAAAACAAAAAAATTCCGAATGAATAATATCGTAATGATCGGACCATGTGCGTTCAATATCTCTTTTCTGTTACGGAGCTTAGTTTTGTGGTAACTTTTGAAGAAAAATTTTCAAAGCACTGCTTTCTGAGTTGAACATTATCGTATGGAACGCATTTTATATCAGGTGTCTTTATATATTTAAGGAACGTTTAGTCAGGATAACACATGCATCATTAAATGGGTTCCGCAGAACGGAAATTACTTATATTGACTGATTGATTTGTTTTATTTAGGTGTCTTATTTCGTGTAGTAATTGTATAATTATAAGCTCCAAAACACCATCGAAACTTCGCATTGTAACATCAAAGGTTCCTTCTTTCTTTAACCACGAAATTTGTTGTCGAATAATATTAATTTTCGACAGTACTTAATGATTCTTACTTCGTTTATACTTATTTTTATGTGTTCTTGAGCTAAGGAGATAAACTCATATAGAATAGGTTATGTTAAAGAATGGTATAAATCTTTTATATCTAGTTGTATAAATTAGCAATTAAGTTGGTTTTTGAGGTTGCAGAACTAGTAGTTATTTTATTTATCAACACTTTGTATGTTATTTAAGGTCAGAAAATATTTTTATATTGTCAGAAATTTTTGTAGGTAATCATGATTTACTAATACGTGTTTTACGCTTTTTTAATCCATAACGGAGGAGGAGTTTGATTCATACCTTTCCTAGTGGTATTTGCGCGTAAAAGCCGGAAATAACTTATAATTCAATTTACTAGCGTGAAAAACAATTTTTAAAAATGATTTGATCCCAAGTAAAGCAGTAAAGCCACAAAGATTCAAGAGGTTACTGTGCGTGTGAGAAGCACTATTAAGAAGCGAGAACATTAAAAGAAGAGTAATCAAGAAGACAACAAATAACTATTGACATTGCATTTTTTTTTATATAGGAATAAAGTGTCACTGCCGACATTGGAGTTTGAACACGGATCGTCAGAGAACAAACACAGGCGATCCCATTATTGAATTAAGTGGATTATGGGACCATGGGAGAAACGCATACGTAGGAAGTAGCGTGACGTATAAACGATCACCATTTCTATTCTATCCTCTATTACTATACGGTTCGCTATTCTCTGTACCATTCACTATTTCTATACTATTTCTCTATACTGATCCCTATACGGATCACTATTCGGTGGTTACTTATTCGAGCGAGTATTATCGTGCAAGTACTATTAGTGCGAGCGATATACGAAGGCGTCTGACCCCAGTATTGTTCAACGGCGTTAGTATAGTTGTATAAGCAATTACAAAATCTCTACTACAACGAGCATTACGAAAGTGACAACGACTATTTGTTGACATTACAAAAGTGGTAACGAGTGTTCGTTGACATCACAAAACATTTACATTTTTGAAGATCAAAATTGGCTGGAAATCATGGAGCAGAAAGAGAATTTCACAATTGTGTGATAGAAGGAACTGCTAGCATAGAACATGCGGTTACAGCTAGCCAGTTCAAATGTAAATAGATGAGACCTTGTAGCCAATCCAATACTACTACTGCCTAGGTAACATAGCTGAGAATTCATCCGAACAATTACTATGAAAGTATTTATTGAAAAGTGTTATATAGGAAGAAAATGAGTAATTACCGACACCGAGGTTCGAGATGAACGTGTGGAGTTGTGAAGATATCTTTCCGCCAGGTGTATAAATAGCTGTGTCAGGTTACTGAATGCAGTGATTATTGATTAAGTATCGAGTGGAACTATCCAGTCGAATTAGTGTGAATTATTGTGTGTCGATGAGTTGGGTTTTGATTTAGGATTTACCGGACGTTAAACCGAACCGCACTACTAAAAAGTTATTCACTGAAATGGTTAATTATCTTTGGTTGACTTTTACCTCTTTGTTCGTGTTAAGTATTTATTTGGGGTTGTAATTAAATACTGTTTTATCTTAACATTGAAATCTTCAGTTATACTTAATGATTAACGGCCACCGTGCGTCACAAAAAGCTACAGGGGAGCTGCGTTATGGTGGTGAGAAAGAGACTTAACCTGAGATGCTTGGACAGGGCTAATAACATTTGGAATTTTTCTTTGGATCTTATCGAGATATGCTATATTATTTATTAACATTCAACTTGCATAGCACCATTGACATCATTGAAGAAAGTAATGTTTAATAATCCAACCTGAAAATGAATTCCATTCGTATTATTCCTCTAAATTATTTATCACAGTTCAGTGTGGAAAAATAGCTAGTAAAAATGATTATCTCCAAAACAAAGCTAGTAACGTTTCTTCATCACCGAGAAAACAACGACTTTTCTTCAGTTGTGATGATCGGTTGTCCTCTCAAACGGGAAAGGACAACTCAACACCGCCTATTCAACACCGCCAACTCAACAACGCCAATTAATCACCGGGACAAAAGCATATTTTTTTTTTATAACCTAATAAGAGTAATTTATTAAGGATTAAAACCTTAATTAGTAAATATTTTTTCTTTAAATAAGGTATTTGAAAAGACATTATGTAAAATATGAACCAGTTTCTTGTTTTTAAGTAATATTCATAAGGTAAATCATAAATTATTAAATTAATTTTTATAAAAATATCTTAGAAAGTCGATTTACTTTATCAAAAATATAAATTACATTACGACTTACTTTATTAAAAATAATTTTAAAAAATGGATTATATTTTACATAATGCCTTTTCAATGCTTTATTTGAAGAAAAATATTCATTAATTATGATTTTGATTCTTAATAAATTACTTTTATTCGGTTATATTTTTCTGGTGCTGAGTTGTCTCGGTCCTGAGTTGTCAAAGTTCAGTTGTCCCGGTGCTCAGTCGGCAGTGTTCAGTTGTACTGAACCTCTCTAAAACGGACTCCTTGCTTTGCATAACTTCTTGGACTCAAATCCCTCCTACTTCAACAAACATTTATGTACAAACCATCCATAAAGATGCAGAAAAAAATGGTTGTTCTGGTCCAGAAAGTACCTGGATCCATCATCTACCTTTACAATAGTCAGATCAGACCAAAATGATATATTATTGCTGTAACATATCTGAAGTTTGCAAATACCTTCTTTCTCAGCTTTCAAAACAGTTCAGCTTTATAGGTGATTATTTCAAATCTGACAACTACTTTCTAGACATGCGCAACATCATAAGCCTATTTCTTCGTAATCGATACTACCGAAGCAAGGCAATAAAACCACGAAGACGCAATGAGTTACAAACTATTAGAAAATATGAGATGCAATTACTATTAAGGAGCGAGGAAAATAAAAGAACAAGAATTATGAAGAGAGAAGGTTGACATTGACATTGTAATAAAAATTTTGAAGATCAAAGTTAACTGGAAAGAACTCTCTTCCGGTATAGGAAGAGAGTTCCACAAGTGGAAAGTGCAATAGAAGAAACTGTTCTCAGAGAACTTACGGTTACATTTAGACATTTCAAGTATAAAATGATGTGACCTTGCCGCCTATCTAGTAATGCGTTTAAATACCTAAAGTCTAGGTACCACCGCGGAAAGTTCATTAAAATAATTACTATGAAATTATTTATAGAAAAGGCACAAAGAAGTTAGTTTAGGGCGGTGGGAAAGGGACCGAAACGAGATGACAGATTAGATTCATTGCTTCTCTATCGGTATTTCCATGCCAAATATTTAGATGAGTTACATTTCTTAGTACGCTCAGTAGACAGTGTTCACTTCGTATAGATAAGAAGGAAATTCCATAGATTCTTCCCGTGAACTGATACTTTGTTAGAATAGACTCCCGAAATGATGCCTCCTAAATTACTATTTTTGTGGGACCTAACCCATAATAACATAATGGACTATCCCATACGTAATAAATACTGCGCCTCAAGAGGAAGCAGAGAGTTCAGTCTGAAGTCTGGAGTGAGGTCCGTCATAAGTCCGTCAGGAGTCAATCAGGGCGAGCGAGTCAGTCAGCCGAGTCAGAGGCAGTCCGAAACAGAGTCGCGTTCAGACAATTACTACTAAACGTGATTGTTCGTACTAACACGTTCTACTTCTCTGTATATATTCCTGTTTGTAATATATCTGTGTTATTCCATATCCGTGTTCGAGTTCTACCTTGGACTATCACCGTGGTACAAGGAACCGGACCATAACAACTATGGTCTTAACCTTTTCAAGTCTGTATCAAACAATATCTATCCTACATATAATCTGCGTTTAGTTCCTCCTCATTCACTTAGACTCTATGTTTACTGGCTCCAGGGTCTCGTATTAGGTGAATATTAACTACAAAAGATGGAGTTTCGTATAAGGTTTGAGGTTTCTCAAATAACGCCGCTGCGAAGATACTGAGAAAGGTTTTAACAGATTAGCGAGAGGATAATTCCCCGTTTATTATGATTTTAACCTCTTTAAATCTAGGGTCAAAAGCTATCTCTTCTACAGACCCTCATAATCTTCAACTTCCTCAACGACCAGGCTTATGGTCACATCACGTTGAAACACCGATTCCGGTAAAATCACCGAAGATAAGCATCGTCGAGCTTCATCAGTACCTAGATGGGTGACCGCTTGGGAATAGCAAGTGCTGTGAGCTTGGATGTGCGGATGGTGTAACGGATAATGGCGCGGACTTTTTAATCGGAGAGCTGAATTTCAATTCCTGTTGGGTCGTGATATTCACTTAGTCACAAATAAGCTTGGAAAAGGTATGAATCGAAATCTTCCATTCCAGCTATGGGTTGATTAGTGTTGTAGCATACCAACGGACGATAATGGACATGTCCCCATTCGCATAAATACAGTAGTAAATACTGTATGTTAGTCTGCAGTTGGAGATTCATCTCCAGCTGTGCTGGTCAAACTCTCTGCCTCCGGGCAGAGAGGATCCCTAGACAAGGCTATGTCGAGGGGCAGAGTCTCATCTCGGGAAACAACTACCCGATCCCGTTTTATACGTGGTCTACGGAGAATGTTTGGCCGAGCCTACGGGCTCAGATACCCCAAATTAAATTAGGCCTTGTGCCACATCTGACCGCGTGGGGCGGTTGGTAGATATTCTGTAGTTGGATATTCATTGTGGCATTCATTTGACTCACTTGTAACAGTTGACTACTTCTACGCGCTGCTGGCGAATCTTATATGTACTGTTCGTGTCCTAAGTATTATCATTCATTACCAACCTTCGTATGATTATTCTATTCAGTAACCTTTCTTAGGTTACAACAATTCGTAAAACTTTTATCACTAAATTATTAATATCATTAAAAAAATTCTTACAGACTTAAAATATTTTCTGGATTTATTTAACCTGCAATGCTTTCAAGAATCAATAGGAAACGAATCAATTAATCCTCTTACAACAATACACCAAGCTTATTCAGTAACTTTTTAACATGATTGGCTCTTGGGCCTTATGTGAAAATTCAGAAAAAAATTACTTCAACATTCGAGTCTGTGAATTTATTATCTGTCAGTAACAAGAAACAGAACAAGAATTTGGAAACATCAATAAATGTTTCACACTCTAAATAAAGGTTAAATAATCTTATATGAGAAACCGTGATATTTCTTCCAGTCAGGAAAGACAAAATCATTAAATTATATAGTGAAAAAAATACTACTACTAAAAAACAGGAAACTAGAAAGATTTTCTGTCAGTACCAATTAACTTCACAAGAAATTTACAATCATCCATAATCGTTATATATTCCATAGTACGCAAGAAAATTCTGCATGAAATACACTACGATTTATATCACACTAAAGAAAGAAACATTTTAACAATTTATTCTCAAAAATTTTCATATATATACATATAAATATATATATATATATATATATATTCATTTACGCGGTAAAGTAAATGTAAGAATCCTGTTCTTCTCCTCCGAACTATGGATAAAGAGCAGGAAAGACTGGGTTCCTTTTGGGGCAACTGGTCTAGGAGAAGGAAAAACTCTGAATTCAAAACCGGCGCTGCGGGTCACGGAATATATATATATATATATATATATATATATATATATATATATGTGTGTGTGTGTGTGTATATTTAAGCAGTAAATTCTTTTATAGGCATATCTGTTTAAATAAATTGCATACATTACCTGTGCTAATTTTTAACAGAATCCGTTTATCCTCACGAATGTCCTTCCGTGTATTGATATTAAATGCGAAATAAAAGTGATTTAAGCAGTTATAGCACATTTCTCACGTCATTTGATATCATTACACGGAAGGTTATTCGTGAGTATGAACGGATTTTATTAAAAATTATCAGCCATAATGTCTATAACTTATTTAATCAGACATTATATATATATATATATATATATATATATATATATATATATATATATTAAGGCATTAAAAACTAGAAATGTTGTATTGCAGGCCATGATAAGTTTAAAATAAAACACACACCAGTCGACCGGTTTCGTCCCCTCTCGTCAGAACTGTTAACGGGAATTTAGATTATGAGGAAAAAAAAAAAAAAAAAAAAGTCTGTCATGGGTGACATGAATGAATGGACAGGAAGGAAGGAAAAAAAAATAAAAATAAAAAAAATAAAATAAAATTATACCAACCAAGCTGCTAGAAGCGCAGAACAGCAAGTCCAAGCAAACAATCTCTTTGTAGTTGTGGATGCGACTACATAGGTAGAACGACACAGCGGTTGGACGTGAGAATTAAACAACACGTACCTGCGATAATACTAAACAAAAATTTTCTTCAGGCGATACCATTTCAACACGTATGGGTCTTCCATTGCGGATCATTTTATAAAGAATCCAACTTGTGCGATGGATTTCAGTGTGAACTGGTTTTCCGTCTTGGCCAGTTCGCACTCACTTTTCCATCTTAAGGTGTTGGAGTCGCTTTACACCAGGTCCAGGCAGCCTTCTCTTTGCAAACAAAGAGATTGTTTGCTTGGACTTGCTGTTCTGCGCTTCTAGCAGCTTGGTTGGTATAATTTTATTTTTATTTTATTTTTTTTTTTTCCTTCCTTCCCTGTCCATTCATCATATTCATGTCACCCATGACAGATTTTTTTCTTTTTTTTCTTTTCCTCATAATCTAAATTCCCCGTTAACAGTTCTGACGAGGGGACGAAACCGGTCGACTGGTGTGTGTTTTATTTTAAACTTATCATGGCCTGCAATACAACATTTCTAGTTTTTAATGCCTTAATACGCTTTTTAAACCGATTCAAATATTTAAATATATATATATATATATATATATATATATATATATATATATATATATATATATAATAACCAGTTACTTACCATAGCCTGACGAAATACAATCAAAGTATTGAAACATGAAAGCTTTTGTGTAGCGGTTTCAACATGTTTTTATTATAATCTTCCATAAGAAAAAAAATATATATATATATATATATATATATATATATATATATATATATATATATATATTTAGTTGGATAGAATAAAATATCACGACCCAACAGGAATTGAAATTCAGCTCTCCAATTAAAAAGTCCGCGCCATTATCCGTTACACCATCCGCACATCCAAGCTCACAGCACTATCCAACCAAATATGTTAGCTCTATCTCTGATATTGAGCGCATTCTAATAAGTACCGCGCATATAATATATAAATAATTATACATACTTATATTTATTTATATTTATATACACTTTTCACACACACACACACACACACACACACACACACACACACACACACACACACATATATATATATATATATATATATATATATATATATGAATGCAGGCTGATGTCAACACCAAGCGGTGACAGTCTGTTTCATGCTTCAAAACAATCTTCAGGTGATTTGAGGTTTGTCAGTAGTGCACTATGGCTATTAAGGTCTACTGCATTACCATGACAGTTACGGCTATATTTCAAATTACAACCGATGTCGCACTCTGTTGTCTTTCTATAAAGAATGTTACATTATCTGCCTTGTATATAGTTGCTTATAATTGCATTTCTCATAATGCCATTTTACAAGGTGTTCCTTTTTGGTTTTCGATATTTAAGTAATGTAATAAATAATTGTTTTCGTGTCTACATTTTTGTTGTGTCGTAAATCGGAAAGGTTGACACACATCTAGAAAATAAAAAGTAGTTTATTCCAGAGAATAATATTGTACACGGTTGAGAACACAGACTAATGTAATAAACAGTTAATCGTTAACTATACGGTGTTTACCCGAGACCTCCTCACAAGGGGGGATGTGGCACAAGGCCGCTTTTTTTACGTGGGGCGTCCGAGCCCGCAGGCCCGGGCAAAACAAAAATAACAGTCTGCCTCCCAGGGTTCTCCGCCCAGCGGCAAAGAGTCGACAAGCAGAGTTAACTGTAATCGTTAATTCCTCTCACTCATTAAGAGAGAGTGCTGTTTAAATAGCATCATCTTAGTGGGTAGAGTGTTCAGTTACTCCATAACAATTTTAATATAATTTCTGATCGTTTATTTAATATTTTTCGCTGGTCTGGGATGATGATTATAGCTATTTTATTCTCTAGACAATGTGTGCAATTTATTTTTATTTAGTGTTGTAAGCTGATTCTGTTTTCCTTATTTTTCATTATTATTTAATGTAAGTTGTTTTTGTTTTCACTTTCCCATATATGTTTAGCTAGCGTTGTACTATTCGCGTATTTACTAATTGCAAAGGAGGTTTTGTGTGCAAAAATATTTTTGTTTCCGAGGTCTTTCAATTTCTTCTATGTAATTCTTTTCATTATCTGCTGAATTTATAGTGGTTTGTTATATTATATTGTTTTGCAATCATTTGTCATTTAAGAGAGGTTCGTTCTTTGCTCGTCAGATACGGGTGGGTTTGCTTTGTGCTGGTGGTTTGTTGGTTATTTTTATGTCGTGATTTTTTATTATCTCTGTCATATTCTCGGTGCAGCTACAACTGATTTTTACCCTGTTCCCGTTGAATATATTCTGGGAATACTTGATAGAGGGAAGTGCTTGTGTATATGTATAATGAATGTTTTTCCTATGTTTGTTTTGCAGCTTTTTGGGTTGAAGTATGTTTCTTTTTCCGTTGTATTTTTGTACTGTATTGTGTGTAAGTGGGTGTGGTCAAAGATCTGCTATCTTTTAGGGCTGTTTCATATTTTTTGGCTTCGTTGAAGATCGTATAATGGGCAGAATTTTCAGTTAATTGATTATGGGATCTGCTTAATTATTGTTAGCCGGTGGTTGGAAAATGTGAGCATGTAAAGTGGTTTGTCATTGAATTTCACATAGGTGATAAGTACATTTTATTAGGTACAGTTTGAAATTTAAAAAACTTATTTCTTTTAGGTTTGTTTTATATCTATGTCGAATCCCTATTTTTGAAAATTTGTATGATCATTTTCCTAAAGTTATCTGGATTCGTCTGTTTGTAATCGTACAGCACACTCCCAGGTCGTCCAAGCCTTAAACACCGCGGCTGATAATGAAAATCGCTTCGATCTCTGACCAGCCTTATCCCACGTTGTGATTTAAGTTTGATCATAAGGAGGCCAAGATCGAATCGTCGCAGGTATCTTCGTGTTGGCCTGGTCCAAGCAGGGCAATGAAGTACAGG